CACATCCAATTCTGATTCAGTTTAAACTAAATTCTCTTTCTTGGCATTTTTGAATCAAAAAGATAGTGGAATTCCAAAAAAAAAAAAAAAAGATAGTGGATGAACTCTGTGTGTGTGTTTAATAAATCATAATGGGGCACCTGGGGGGCTTAGTCCATTAAGCATGTGCCTTTGGCTCTGGTCATGATCCCAGGGCGTGGGATGGAGCCCCACATTCAACTCCCTGCCTAGTGGGGAGCCCGCTGCTCCCCCTGCTTGTGTTCTCTCTTTCTCTCTCTCAATTAAATGAATAAAATGTTTTTGAAAAAATCATATTAATTAAAACTGTTAATGCCAGTCTCCAAATCTGCTTGAGGGCCAGATCATGGTAATTTTTTATCCCTTATTTCTTGAGATATGGTCTGTAGAACAGTCATTCATTCTGATGTGGAGTTAAGATAGTAAGTGTTGTATTAAAATAGTGCTTTATTTAGCCAAATAATTTTGGGGAAACATGAGGTTGAACGATGGGAAACAAGGTTTTTTTTTTTGCCATAGAACGTCTCAGGACATCTCACGTGCATGGTGGAAGTTTGATGCATAGTAGTTAAGCAGAGTTTTTATCTCCCATTACTCCCCTTTTGGGGATGTGGGTGCGTACATGGAACGTCTCGTGGGTCTGGTGGGTGCGTGTTGCTCTGCCTCCTGAAACCTCGGCTTTTTCTTACTGCCTTTTCCCTCTCTTCACCTCTGTGTTTATAGCCCCCTGTGTCCAGCTGTGTGTGTGTGTGTGTGTGTGTGTGTGCATCGTGTATTTAAAGGTGCTGGAGGAAGATGGGATTGTACGTGGTAACCCCCAACCCAGAGCAGCTGCTGTCTTCGCGTGGAGCTGTTGGGTGCAGCTATCTCATAGGCCCTTGGTTAGTCGTCTTTGGACCAGTTGGACCAGGTAGCCAGTTACTTCTAGGGCGGCAGGTTCATAGGACTTTGTTTTCCCTTGGAGGGACTTCCTTTTTATTTTCTGTCGTTTGTGAAGTTTCCAAGACCATCTGTATCTTATTTATCATTGTTTCCGCGATGTCTTCCCAGAGGAACCAATACACGTCAGATGCTGGGTCAGTACGTGTTGAGCCTCTTAGCCTGGCAAGCCCTGGCAGTCCTGCAAGAGGGGAGCAGCAGGACTGGCAGTCGTAGCGTACGGCTTGTCCGTTATGGACAGCTTACTTTTTCACCTTACCATATTCTCCAGTAGCTTTTGCAGAGAAATCGGCTCTGTCGGACTCTATAAACATCCGAATGGAAAAGTAAGTTCTTCTGAAAATGCTCTTTCTCTGCCTTAACAGAGGTAATTTCCTTTAAGATTCATTTCAGATGCCACAGTCTTGGTGGAGCTGTGGTTTTTCTCAGACCCTGTTACTCCTCTGTTCTTGGTGTTGCCGTAGCACTTTGTACGTGCGTCTTTCAGTCCGTGTCCCACGATATTGTTGCTTTTTTGTCTTCCAGTCAGACTTTGAGTTCATTGAGGATAGAGATGCTGAATAGAAGCGTGAGTAATAACTACGTGTAGTTAAGATCTAATCAAGCATTTAAAGCATCTGTGCCTGGAGAGGGGAAGGAGAGAATAGCAGAGAAGCAAGGTCTGAGCATCTTCAGAGCATCTAGAAGGTCTTCTGGTGTTGGCTATGGGCTCATGAAAGAGCAGCTCCCAACGGGACTCGGCGGGCTGACAGAGGCACTTGCTTTGGCACCTTGACGTGTCCTGTCTCGTGTTAATTTGACCCTCCCAGTGAGCTGTGAGAGACTTGGGATTTCCTTGGACAGTTAGGGAGACTAAGTGGTTTACCTGTCGTCGCGCTTGTCTAGTAGGAAAGTGCCTACAGGAAGCTGAACGAGGCAGGGCCTGGCTCTGACCCCAGCCCCTGCGTGGATGCCCCTGTGCTGCCCAGTGCAGCGACGCCTCATCGTGGTGGTGAGCTTTCTGCAGATTTTTCTCTTAATCCTTTAGGGGAATTCTGTCCATGAGAGCATGTTTCCATTTTTGAAACGGAAACCAGTGAGAAAGTATGATTTATTAATAAAATTTTACTATAACCAGTGTTGAGTACGTGTTTTCTTTGAACTGAAGTATGTGTTCACGGACGTGGGTTGTCTTAAACATCCTTTTTACCCTAACTTCAAATAGTGTTATCACCAAATAGTAGGACTCTCCTTTTGAGTCTGTTGCATTTCTTCCTGATGTCTACAGCTAGGTGGTTTCACTCATTTGAAAGCAGTGGTCACATACAGCCAGACCTTTTTAGAAATGATAAGTTTGGGAGCTTTATCTGATTAAAGGTCAACTTCTTATGTTAGCTTCTGTTGAGTTTTTAGTGTCTTTCTAAATAAGATGATAATCTCTGCTGTATAGGAGATAAACTGTTCCCTGCAAGTCATTTATACCTCATTGTAAATGCATCAGTATGATGTCCAAGTAGATGGATGTGGCGGGGGCTGTAGTTGATGGCTCACTTTGTTATCTCAGACAAGGAAAGTTGCTAGTTACAAAGTGGGTGCTGACGTCGTAGCTATGGTCCTTCACTAGGGGCTGAGTAGGTTAGTGTCACCTTATTAAAAATAGGAATGTTACATATAGTACACCATAGTGCTTTTTTTCAGTTGATTCAGTCAGTATTTTTTGACCACTTATTTTGATGGGCGGTTTTCTACCCACTAGACATTCAGAAATGAATAATGTTGAAATTAATGCAGAGAATTCACTACTTCTATCTTGAATTATTGATTATCTCCAGGATATTCTTTGGGGCGTCTGGGTGGCACAGTCAGTTGAGCATTCTGCTCAGGTCATGATCTCTGGGTCATGAGAAGGAGCCCTGTGTCAGGGGCTCTGTGCTGAGCTGGGGGTCCCCTCTGCCCCTGTCTCTGCAGCCCTCCCTCACCCCGATATGGGCACCTGCTCACTCTCCTAAAAAAAAAATTCTTTGCTGCTATTTGCAACCATATATCTTCACATCAACTCCAGGTTCCTATAAAAAAAGAGACCATAGATTTTACTGTACATTTAAGAAAGCCAGCTGCTATGTTTTGAGTTCCCTTCTCCTCATAAAGTTAATTTAAAATACCTCTGAATTCAAAGTTTTAATTATGTAGGTTAATAATTGCATGCAGACCAAATAATGAAATACAGAACCTTCCATTTTAAAAGCTTAAACCAAAATCTTGTGTAAGTGCACTTAGTCCCTCTTCGTGTTCGAGACTCTCCAGCCCCTCACGGTGGGCCCCCACATTAAGTAAGCATGAGGCCTCGCACGCTGTCCTAGGCTCTCCGTGTGTAGCGGCCTGTCCAGCACCCACCGCGGCCTGTGGAGGATGCTGTTACCCCCCATTTCACAGGTGTGAAAATTAAGGCAAATGGAAGGAAAGTGTCTTGTCCTTGGTCACGTAATTTTGTCAATAATGGGAATGTACGTAGAACTTTGGTGTTTGGGATCCAGAATGCAATACTCTTCCTTACTACTGTAGAATTAGGTACTTTCTTTTTTTTTTTTTTAAAGATATTTATTTATTTGAGAGAGAGCAGGGGTGGGGGGTAGGAGTGGGAGAGGCAAGCAGACTCCCCCCTGCGCAGGGAGCCCAAGGCTCGGCTGGGTCCCAGGACCGCGGGGTGACCACCCGAGCTGAGCGAAGGCTGACACTTAGCCACCAGGTGCCCCTATTTCACGTACTTTGAATATGCAGACCTATAAACACCTGTCTATTTTAAGTGTCCCTAATTTCTGAATCTGCAGTGATAACAGTGAAGGTGCAGTGCTTGTCATGTTGGAATGATGTCACTTCTTCCTTCTTTCCTCTCTTTGGTGCGATTCTTTTCCTCTTCTCTCCTTTTTTTTTTTTTAAAGAAACATTACTACTAAAGGTTTTACCAATGGAAGTTCCAGATTCTCCTTTGCACGTCTTTCAGACACGAGTTTTCCAACTCTGCTCCCACCAAGGGGAGGAGGAAAAGGTTCGGGGAGTGAAACCAGTGCTTGAACTGAGTTTCTTTGAGACTGTCTCGGGATCCTGTGTCGGGGTCCTACTGATTCGACCCTGAGACGTCGTCGATGCCTCGTTAGGTTGTTTGGGATGCGCCCGTGGGAGATGTTCTCTTCCATGCGGGGAAGGTGACGGAGTGTCCCTGTGGTGGCGGGAGGGCATTGTTCTGAGGATGCCGACGTCCGAGGGGGGCCCAGGGTGGCTCACCTCCACGCGGGGAAGGGGCCTGCCCAGGGCCGCGCATCCTGAGTGGAGACCAGTCCCCGCTTGACGCCTTGCCGCTGGTTGACAGTGAACTTTTCTGGGGCTGTCAAAGGCCTTTACATCTCGCTTGAGAGCAGTTTCTTAAATTAAAATTCAAAATACAGTGAACTGTTTAAGGCAGAAGGTACGTTACATCCTTGGGGGCAGTTGACCTTACTCTCCGAGTTCCATCACCTTGTATCCTGAACTTTTGTTCTGAAGAGGAAGTGTCCCGTCATTCTCAAGAAGAAGCTTCGCCTGAATTGAAAAAAATTATTTTTTTCTAGTCTCCAAGAATCAAACCTGAGAACCGATGGGATACATCGTGTTAGGATAAGTGAAGAGCAGGCCCGAACGCTTTTCCTGGGGGAGCACGCGGCTTGTGGAGAGGACGTCAGCCGCCCTGAGGAGCTGGCGTAGGCGATCGGAGATATTTTTGTACCATCTTAAAAATAAACGAACCCTTAGCGTCCTACTTTTGGAGTCCTTTTTATATTTTATAGAGTAGGAAGTAAAGCAGAGAGCGTTTAATCATGCTTTCATTTTAGAATTTAAGCTTTGTGTCTGTGGCAGGGGAGGAGGATTCTAAAGTGAAAAAGTTGTTAATCACTCTTTTGTATTATAAAAGATTGGGAAACAAATCCATTATGCTAAATAATGTTATCTGATGTGAAGTCCTTTATTTACCATATTCACGGAATCTTTGGTGCTGGAAAAGTAAGGATACCATTTCTTTTTTCCCCCAGAAACGTGCTAAGGGACAAGTGTTATTTGACAAAGTGTGTGAACATCTCAATCTCCTGGAGAAGGACTACTTTGGACTTTTATTTCAGGAAAGCCCTGAGCAGAAAGTAAGTGAAATGATTTCAACTTTATTTGTATCTCTTAGAAAAATACTGTATTTTTTTTTCTTTTTTTTTTAATTTTTATTTATTTATGATAGTCACAGAGAGAGAGAGAGAGAGAGAGAGAGAGAGAGAGAGAGAGGCAGAGACACAGGCAGAGGGAGAAGCAGGCTCCATGCACCGGGAGCCCGACGTGGGATTCGATCCCAGGTCTCCAGGATTGCGCCCTGGGCCAAAGGCAGGCGCCAAACCGCTGCGCCACCCAGGGATCCCTGTATTTTTTTTTCTTAAGCAGTATAAAATTTACCCTTAAAATAATTTGACATATTTTATATTTATTGTTGAAATTAGGTAAGTATTAAAAACCTATGTAGAGGGATCCCTGGGTGGTGCAGCGGTTTGGCGCCTGCCTTTGGCCCAGGGCGCGATCCTGGAGACCCGGGATCGAATCCCACGTCGGGCTCCCGGTGCATGGAGCCTGCTTCTCCCTCTGCCTGTGTCTCTGCCTCTGTGTGTGACTATCATAAATAAATAAAAAAAAAATTTAAAAAAAACCTATGTAGAGAGAATCACCTAAAAGTTTCCGCCATTGTGTGTGTATGTTTTCCCACTAGTACCATATGCAGACAGAAGGGATGTCTGATTCTGTGTTAATTATTAGAGACTGAAAGAACGGATTTAAAAATTTTTATGTTGAATTTTTTAGCTCTTGAATCCACCTGTATGCTAGGAATTGAGACACCTAACTCTGGGAAACGAACAAGGGGTGGTGGAAAGGGAGGTGGTTGGGGTGACTGAGGGGGACACTTGGAAGGATGAGGACTGGGTGAAAAAATAAAATAATTAAAAAAAATAATTAAAAAAAGAGTAAGTATTGATAAATGCTACATAGATAAATCTTGAAAACATGCTAAGTAAAAGAACCCAGACACCAATAACCATATTTATATGATTATTTGTTTGAAATATCCAGAGTGGACAAATCAATGGAAACAGGAAGTAGATTAGTAGTGGCAAGGGGCTGAGAGAGGTGTTGGGGGAAAGGAGGGACTAACAGATCATGGATAGGAGGGTTCTTTTTGAAGTGGTGAAACATTCTAAAATGCAAGGAAGAAAGCATATTGGAAGCAATGTGCACTTGTCTGGGGGCTTGGGAGAGCGCTTGCCTTGCTGGACAGACTGGTGGCTGTGTGGGGTGATGTGTTCCTTGCCCTATTGTCGGGTTACGGGGAGGCAGGAAAGGAGGTGGGGCCCAGCCTGGCGCAGGCGGCAGATTGACCGGCCGGCACCCCATGCAAATCTGCCTGGCATCAAGTGTGTTGAGATTGTTCTGCCCCAGGAATTTCCCAAGACACTAAGCAGGAGCCTCGGAGGCTCTGATGCCTACTGCTAATTCCAGGGACTGGCAGGGCTTCTCAGTCTCCTATATAAATCACGGGGGGCAGTAGTAATCCAATCTGGCAATTAGCTAGGTAACTATCAGCCTTCTGTCGGGGTCAGTTTGGGCATTTCTAACAAAGTGCCATAGTCAGAGTGCTTCATAAATAACACGGGAAGGCTGAGAAGGCCAAGATCAAGATGCCAAAAGGTTCAGTGTCCCGGGAGGGCCCACTTTCTGGCCCATGTGAATAATGTGTTCTGTGTCCTCACAAACAGAAGGGCAGGGAGCTCTCCGAGGCTTCTCCATACGTGTACAGCTCCCACTCATGAGGGATCTGCCTCCATGACCTCATCACCTCCCAAAGGCCCTCAAATATTGGCACACTGGGGTTTGGGTCTCAACATATGAATGGGGGGTGGGGGACACACATACAGTCAGTCTCTAGCACTTTCCTCCTTGTTAAGAAAGGGCCATTCCTCTTCTACTGTACTTTGAGTAATGGGATGTGACTGGCGGAGAAGGCTGAGTGGAGGAGTGAAGAGTAAAGGTTTGATCCTGTTGCATCCCAAGCGAAGCCCTCTTAAGTCTGTTAGCTTGTGGCTGTGGACAGCCTCGCCGAGATCTTCTGTCTGGGGATGCCTGAGCCCCTGGTCACGGCGAAGGAAGTGGCCTTGCTGTTTCTAACCTGTACGTCACAGTCAACAGAAGAAAACAGTCAGTGGATGAACATAGGCGGGAAAGTTTATTTGCCCACATGCTGTCATTGTTTATATGTCTTGGTAATGAAATACGGGGTATTAAGGGTGATAATTACATATAAATTTAGTTTTCTCAGCTTGCTTAGTTTTAAAGCCTTGATGCCTAATTTGTGGTTTAATTCCACATTTAAACGAAAGACAATTAAATTGCATGTCTGCCTGCAGAATAATATGGTAGTATTCTCCATTAGAATTCTGTTTAGAATGCGTTTCTCAGATGTAGTAACGTATCAGATATTTGACTAAATAAACGATGTGCTTTTTTTAGACTTGAAATTAAGGGCGGTTTTGATAATATTTCCAACCATATGCCCTTATGCTAGTCCTAAAAGCTATAAAAAAGAAAGTGGTGGGAATTTGGCTATCATTATCCACTTTTTCTGCAATTACATATGGGAGAGTCATAAGAGCACTTAAGCTTTGTGAAAGAAGGAAGCCATCTAGTATGTTGTAAAACATGTAGAAAAACACATTCTGTTAGTAGAAACAGGATATGCTACATAAAGACATCTGGTATTTCTGCAACCCTAGATTTACATGAGAAAGAGTGGTATTTAGATAGTGGGATCCACCAGTTTTTATTTTTATGACTTCCAGTATATGTGTCTAATCCATATCTTTGACCTGAATCTCAGACTCCTCTTTAACTGCCTCCTGGACACTGCACTCAGTGGTCTCAAAGCAAACCGGCATCTTCCCCCTTAAGCCTCATCCATCTCCTGTAGAGTGGGTCCTTCCACTCCTTCCACATGCTTCCATTGCTTATCAGTCAAAAAGGTCTGTTCTTCGTCTACCTACTAACATCCCTCTCCTAGTTCTCTTGGTCCACGGTTTGGACTTAGGTTTGACCCCTGTCCTCTCTTGCTTTGACAATATTGTCATCCTCCCACGTGGATGAACCATCTGGTCCCGGCCCCCATGGTCACACACCACGCTGCTGCTAGACTGAGATCTCAGGAGCTCCTGTTTGATCTTGGCACTCCCTGGTTTAGCACCATTGAGTAGATCCAGCCTGACCCTCTCGGGGTGGTTGACAATGTTCTACTGCTCTTATTTCATTTCTCAGTAACCTCCCACATAGAGTCTGGGTTCAATCCACACCAAAGTTCTCTCCTCATAAGAGCTTTGTTGGTCCGTACCATAGCTGCTGCTTGAATATACTATTCTTTACATTTGGCGTGCCCTCTTCCCCCCTCCTTTTTTTTTTTTTTTTTGGTATTTGATGCCTACTTAAGATATCCTACTTTTTTGGTATATGATGCCTACTTAAGTATCCTACTCTAGGAGATTTAGCTTGACTGCTCACCACCACCCTGTCTCCTGCTCCCACTCAAGGAGAGTTGACAGTTTCTTCCATCTGTTATCTATCTAGACATTTAGCCCAAACCTTATTTGTGTCCATCATTTTTCCCCGTTCCTTTAGGAACTTGAGGGTAGAGATCATACATTTTTGTCTGTGTAACCTCAATCTAGTTAAACATTATCAAATATATATTAAATACTGCCTTTGTGCCATCTCACACCCATTAGGATGGCCACTAGCAGAAATACACAATAAGAAGCTTTAGCAAGGATACCAAGAGATTGGGACCCTTGTGCATTGGTAGTGGTAATGTTAAATGATGCAGCTCTTGCAGAAAACAGTATAAGCACTCAAAGCAGGAAAATACTCAAAAAATTATAAATAAAACTATGTGATCCAGCAGTCCCACTTCTGGGTATATATTCAAAAGAACTGAGAGCAGGATCTTTAGGAGATGTTTGCACCCCTGTGTTCATTGCAGCATTATTCATGGTAGCCAAGAAGTGGAAGTAGCCCAGTGTCCACTGATGAATGAATTAGATAAACAAAGCGTGGTATATACAAAATGTGGTGAATGGAATATCATTGAGCCTTAGGAAGTCTATCACATGCTCTAACATGGTTGAACCTAGAGGACATTAAGTGAAATAAGCCACAAAAAGCCAAGCACTGTGATCCACTTATTTGAGGTATCCATAGTCACACTCGTGGAAATGGAAAGTAGAACCGTGTCTGCCGGCAGGGGCAGGGGGCGCCTGCTGTTCCGTGGGTATAGAGTTTCAATTTTGCAAGATGAAAGAGTTTCAGAATCTCTTGCACAACAATGTGAATAAGGTTAGCATTGCTGAACTGTATACTAAAAAATAGTGACGACAGTAAGCCCCTAGTCAAGTAAAGAATTTAAGATTGGTTGAGGAAGGAGGAAGAATCAGTGTGATGATTGGGTGTGAGGGATGACATAACACTAGTAAGGCCTGGGAGGCTGGCCAGCTGGATGGAGGTGCCTTTTAGTGAGTTGGGGAGGGCTCAGTTAGGGGGATGGCAGGGTATATCACGCATGTCATTTTTCAAGACATGTTGACTTTAGGTCAGATAACAACTTTTAGAAGAATAAATTAATTTTATATGTGCTTTAAAGAATGGGCACCTACGTGGCTCAGTTAAGCATTTTGGCTCATGAGATCGAGCCCCAGGTCAGGCTCTGCACTGGGCGTGGAGCCTACTTAAGATTTTCTCTCTTCCTCTTCCTGTGTATCCCTCTTTCTTAAAAAAAAAAAAAAAAAAAAAAGTGGCTGCTAGCACTCCAGGTGGACTCTGTCTCGATACAGAGTGCTGTAGGGTGGTTTTATTTCTAGATGGGAATATCCTATTTATATTGAGGCTCCTAGTTAGACATGCTTATTTATAACTTCATTTTAAAAGATTCCAAAGTGGCTTTTATCATAAAAAAAATATATCCTGAATAGAGGCTCCAGGGCAGCTCATTCAGTTAAACGTCTGACTCTTGATCTCAGGTTAGGGCTTGATCTCAGGGTTGTGAGTCTGTGAGTCCCGTGTTGGGCTC